AGCAGGTCGAGGCTGCGGTGGCCGGGAGCGGCCACTGCACTCCAGTCTGGGTGACAAAGAAACTCCAACTCAAAAAAAACAAAAACAAAAACAAAAACAAAACAAAACAAAACTTATTTGGGACCTCAGGGGGTGACGCATAAGAGGTCTGACAATTAAGTTCGCAAACTCATCCTAGAAAACGTGCTACACACCTCATTGCTGAATATCACGACAGTCACCTTCAAAGTACTCCCCTTGAGAAGGTATGCACTGATGCTAGTGCTTAATCTACCTGTCACAGCAGTTTTGGGACTCTTTTCCTGCAATGGCTAACGGAGCTGTTGTCACAAGAAAGTTAGAATTGGATTTAGAGGCATGAACAAACATTAAATTTCTTGTTAAACTTGACAAGAGTGGAAGTGAAATCAGGAACGTGAGTTCAAGTTTATGGGGATAATGCCATGAAGAAAACAGCAGTGTATAAATGAATTAAATGTTCAGCCTGTAATCCCGCACCTTTGAGAGGCTAAGGTGAGTGGATTGCCTGAGCCCGCGGGTTCGAGACCCGCCTGGGCAGCGAGACCTCATCTCTACAATGAATCAAAAAATCAGCTGGGCATGGTAGCGCATGCCTGTAATTCCGGCTACTTGGAAGGCTGAGGCAGAAGGATCGCTGGAGCCCAGCAGGTCGAGGCTGCGGTGGCCGGAAGTGGCCACTGCACTCCAGTCTGGGTGACAGAGTGAGACTCCAACTCAAAATAATAATAATAATAATAATAAATGTTTTTCTGAGGGGACAGAAAGTGTCACTGATGAAGAGAGGTCAGGACGGCCAGTTATGAGCAGAACTGATGAAAACATTACAAAAATGTGTTAATTGTGCATCAAAATCATCAGCTGACTGTGAGAAGCATAGAGAACCAAAAAAACATTGTTAAAGAAACTGAAAAATCTTAACTGAAAATCTTGGCATGAGAAAGGTGTATGCAAAAGTGGTCCTGAAGCAGCTCTTGAATCACAACAATGCTGCACCATCTCACACAGCACTGTCTGTGAGGGAGTTTTTAGCCAGTAAACAGATAACTATTGGAACACCCTCCCTACTTTGCTGATCTGGCCCCCACTGGCTTTTTTCTTTACCCAAAGATAAAGGAAACGTTGAAAGGAAGACTTTTTTTTTTTTTTTTTGAGTTGGAGTCTCACTCTGTCGCCCAGACTGGAGTACAGTGGCCGCTCCCGGCCACCGCAGCATCGACCTCCTGGGCTCTGGCAATCCTTCCGCTCAGCCTTCCAAGTAGCTGGAACTACAGGCGTGCGCTACCATGCCCGGCAAATTTTTTGATTTCTTGTAGACATGAGGTCTGGCCAAGTTGCCCAGGTGGGTCTTGAACCCGCGGGCTCAGGCTATCCACTCACCTCAGCCTCCCAAGGCACGGGATTACAGGCTGAGCCACCAAGCCCGGCTGAAAGGAAGACATTTTGATGACATTCAGGGCATCATGTGGCAACAGCTTTGATGGCCATCCCAGAAAAGGAGTTACAAAATTGCTTTGATGGGTCGACTAGGCACTGGTATCTGTGCATAACTTCCCAACAGGAGTACTTCAAAGGTGACCATAGTGATATTCATCATTGAAGTATGTAGCACTTTTTCTAGGATGAGTTTATGAAATCAGTTGTCAGAATTTGTATATAAGGGTAAAAGTTGCTTAATGCTTCACTGATTACTTGTCTTAAGGATATTAGGCTTGCGGATACTGTAATAGTAGGAAGGCAAAGTCTATTAGTTATCTATTGCTACATAACAATTTTTTTTTTTTTTTTGAGTTGGAGTCTCACTCTGTTGCCCAGGTTGGAGTGTAGTGGTATACTCATGGCCACCCCAGCGTCGACCTGCTGGGTGCCGGCGATCCTTCTGCCTCAGCCTTCCAATTAGCTGGAACTACAGATACATGCTACCATGCCTGGCTAATTTTTGATTTATTGTAGAGACGAGATCTCACCAAGTTGCCCTGGCTAGTCTCAAACCCACGGGCTCAGGCATTCCACTCGTCTCAGCCTCCCAAAGTGCTGGGATTATAGGCTGAGCCACGAACCTGGCTGCTACATAACAATATTGCCACAACCTTGGCAGGTTAAAACAACACACTTGTTTCACAATTTTTGATAGGAATAGGAATCGGGCCATGGCTTAGCTGCATTTTCTGTTGAGGGTCTCACAAGACTAATGAGAGTGTTGGCCAGATGTTCTTATCCGGAGTTTTCACTGGGGGAAGATCTACTTTTCCACTCATGGTTCTTGGCAGCATTCAGTTCCTTCCAGCTGTAGGAATGAGAGCTTCAGTTTGTTGCTGGCTGTTAGCCAGAGGTAACTCTCAGCTCCCTATCACATTGGATTGGTAAACATGCCTGCCTGCTTCCTTATAGACAGCAGGGGAGAGAGACCAGCAAATCAGATAAAGTGGGGATCATAAGGACCATCTTAAGAGTATGTCCTCACAGGAGCCATGAAATGTGGGAGGTAATTTGCTAAGTATATTGTAGCACATACTTAATAAGGAAATGAAGAATAAATGCAAACATTGGGATGAAAAAGAATCTGCCTCATTTTTAGAACTGAGCTACTTTACCACTAGGTGGTGGTATAGTCGTTAGACTTAAGACAAATAACTACTGCATCTGTATAAAGCTCTTTGCTCTGAAACTCTTCAATTAGGACAGAAGAGTGGGGTGCCTGCTGCAATGCTGAAAATATGCCAGAGGGCTCCAATCAAGAAACAGAAGAAGCAAAGGTTTGATATTTTCTAAGGCAAAGAGTTTTCATACTCTTGGCTTGCCACATCATAACTTGAACTAGTTAAGGTTAGATGGTCCATTCTAGTTACATGGGTGTGGGGAGACTTGGTCATGTTTTCCTTTGTGGAAGTCTTACCTACTTAAAAATGTAAAATGTATGTTTAATTTTCTCTGAATTCATATTCTTATGGACTGTTAAATGTTTCTTTCCTTTTTTTGAGTGAATTTCTCGCTCTGTCACCCAGGCTGGAATGCAGTATCATGATCATAGCTCACTGCAGCCTCGACTTCCTGGGCTCAGGCAGTCCTGTGTCAGCCTCCCAAGTAGCTGGGACTACAGATGTGCACCACCATGCCTGGCTAATTTGTATTTTATTTTTATTTTTGTTATTTTTGTAGCGACGAGGCCTTGCCATGTTGCTCAGGTTGGTCTCAAACTCCTGGTCTCAAGCAATCCTCCTGTCTCAGCCTCCCCAAGTGATGGGATCCCAGGCATGAGCCACTGTACCCGGCCATAGATGTTTCAAAACATACTCTGAACACTTGAGAAATCACAGAAGCTGTTTTTTTAAAGTTAAAGTAATATCACAAAAATCTGTATTTAGTTTGTAATCAATCTTCTGATGCTAAGGTTACTGCTTTCTATTAAAGAATTTAATGCCTATTCCTATTCTATTCAAACAAACTAGGTGATAATCACGGCCTATTAAAGTTGGAGATACAAAGCAGTTTTATCATCTGTACAGGCATAAAATCAAGTAGGCATAAAATCACGTAGTTTGAGGCTAGCTAAATAGGGCAAGCACTATTACAGCAGTGTCTACAAGAGGAGGCCCAAAAAACCTGGAATTTATTTATTAAAAATTGTGTATTAATTCTTACATGTTTAAACTTCAGTCACTTTCAAAGTACTGTCAGTTTGATGCAATACAACTGTCAAGATGCTTTTTTCCACTGCTCAAAACAGTTTTTTAAAAAAATTTATTTTATTATAGAGATGTGGGATACAAGTAAGGAATGACTACATAAGTAGGCTGTATGCAGGTGGAACTTAGGCTTCTAATTGACCCTCACCACCCCTGGCAGTAGACTAGGTACCTTTGTGTTGTCACGTGCCCTCCATTCTTTTCCCTCCTTCCCTCCCTCCCCTAGCAGTGCCTAGCGACTACTGATCCTTCCCTTGTGCTAATGTGACTAACGTTCAGGGCACACTTATGAGTGAGAACATGTGATATTCAGTTCTTTGATTCTGTGATAGTTCACTTAGTATTATGGTCTCCAATTCCATCCAGTTTGCTGGGACATCCATGATTTTGTTCTTCTTTATGGCTGTGTAATATTCCATCATGTATATGTACCACATTTTCATTATCCAGTCCACTTTCAATGGATAGTAGGGTTGGTTCCATGTTTTTGCTATTGTGAATAGTGAGGCAGCAAACGTGTGTGCAGCTGTCTTTTTTGTAGAATGATTTATGTTCTTCCAGGTATATTCCCAGGAGAGGGATTTTTGGATCGTATGGAAAATCAATTTTTAGTTCTTTTAGGAATCGCCCTACTGCTTTCTGTAGAGGTTGAAATAGCTTGCGCTCCAACGAACAGTGTAGAAATGTTCCCTTTTCTTTGCACCTGCCCTTTGACTTATTAATGATTGCCATCCTTACCTGAGTTAGGAGGTATCTCATTGTAGTCTAAACAGTTTTTGAGCTCATCAGTTTTGATAGTGTTTTGTGGTTTTGGCAAAACATTTCCCTTGAGTACTTTTTTCATCTGGAGAAACAAAAGAGTTACTTGGGGTAAGATCAGGCAAATAGGGAAGGTAGGATGTGGAGATCATGCCATTTTTGGTTAAAAACTGCTGAACAGTCAGTGCAATATGGGCAGGTGTGCTCGTAAATCAACCATCATGAAACGGGCAAACATGTTGAATCTCCAAAAAGTAATTCAGTGAAGCCAAACACAGCCTCTCACAATAATACTAGCTGGAACATTGATGCCAATGGGTTTCTAGAACACTTACCTAGCGGTGGAATCCTGTACTGTACTACAAGGGACCTGCCCTCCAAAAAATAATTACGGGGGTTTTTTTGGGGGGGGGGGATCCCGCTCATATGTATGCCCAAAGTGCTCGTAATTTTGGAATGGCATTGAATATGGTGAAATTATAGGAAAGCAGATGAAAAACTGTGGTTCCTTTGGAAATTTTAACAGAATTTGACCAAAATTAAATAAGCTATTCAGATATTTTGAGGTGATTTTAGGGTACAGAAACATTTGCACCTCTATGTGTGTATCAAGATGACATTCACTGAATAGCTTTGAATTTTTAATCCTGGTCTGTTAGTTGTATTGGTTTATATGACATGTGTCCTGAGTTGTTGTCTGCTCTAGACATTATTTCCCTTCTGTCATCTAAAATCTTTTAGAATTGCATTTTATTTTTTTGACTTCTCGATTTTTAAAATACACAGTAAACATTTTTGTGCTGTTTTTTCTTGTTTTAATGATGAAAAGGAAGACATATGTATATAATTTTATAAAAGATAGAAGAAAAGAACCTTAATTCTTCCTTCCTCATAGAAGGAAGACTTAAGCTAAGGATGGTGAGTTTGTAGCGTGATTATTTTTGTTTTAGTCTCCAGAAAATCCATCAAAGATGCTCTTCCCCTATAAGGTGCTCAAAGCCCTGGATCCAGAAATCTATCGTAATATAGAATTTGATGTTTGGTTGGACAGCAGAAAAGGTAATGAAATATCAACAGGATACTTTTGAATCCTGACAGATCCAGGAGAATAATTTTGCAAGTTGTTTCTTATAAGAGATGCTTGTTTTCAGTATACTGTTATTAAAAAGCAGCCTGGTACTTTTTATCTTACGCCATATATGATTTAAGTCCAAAAGAAGAAACAAATAGGTTTAAAAGTGGGAGGGATCTTTTAGAGTCTGATATTTATCTGGGACTTCAACTTTGCAAAGATTGTATAGAGATAATCTTTAGGTGGCCTTAAGAGTACCAGAAACTTTTAGTGACTGGAACAAACTCATCTTAAATATAAAGTGTTAAAACCACCCTTACTGGTAAGTGAATTAGTTAGGCCTTTGGACCATATGTGACTTGCCACCTTTTTTTGTGTGGTCCATGAGCTAATAGTATATTATGACACATGAAAATTTTATAAAATTCAAATTTCAGTGTTCATAAATAAAGTTGTACACCAGAGTTTAAGTTGTTCTGACAGTCTGTATGGCTCATAACTGAAATAGTTACTGTTTGCCTCTTTACAGAAAAAGTTTACCAACCCTTGAAATAGGTAATTGTTTATTTCTCCTTATAAGATAACTAAAATGAACAAACTAGGCCGTAAAGTTCTGCCTTCAAGATAAGTCATTAATATTTCTCATTCAAATCTTTGTACCTTGGTGAACCTATGTATAGTTAACAATCTAGAATGAGATTAAGATCTCATGTAACATAGTAAATTGTTTTTTTTTAAAAACTGCTTTGAAGAAGCTGTATATTATTGCCTTCAAACTTTACCAGTGTTTGACCAACTTTAAGACTAGGAACTCCTAATTTCCACCTATTTCTTTCTTAAAGCACGACATTATTTTTGCAGGTCTCTTTAAGTTGAACCACAGAAATAACCCATGAAGAGTGATAGAATGGCCCTTTAGGACACCTCCCCTTATTTTAACGTATAGTGGTAGCATTGTCAAAGACACTAAAAGCAAATTAGGAAATTAAATGATGTAAAATAGGAAAGGAATCAGCTCAGTTGAGCTTGAATCTTCATTTTCTTTTAATAGAACTTCAAAAATCTGATTACATGGAGTATGCTGGGAGACACTACTACTTGGGAGACAAGTGTCAGGTTAGTTCCTTCTTTAAAGAATCAGTAATTTGTTTTTTCAAGATTGTGCTTTTAGTCATTAATATGAGTTGACCAAGACTTATATACAAAGTGCTAGAAACTATTTAAATGTCTATTCTTTTTGAATTAGAAACTTTTGTCATTAGATGTAAGACTCTTTCAGTATGTGCTGCCTCGTTTGACTCAGACTGGCAGTGTTGATATCAATTACTTTAAAAAGTGGACACTGAACTCCATCTGGGGAAGAGTGATATTTTTGTCTGGTAGAAGCCATATCTTTCATTAGACTTGAAACTAGATGTAGTCTCCTCTTTTAGGTTCGCTTGGAATCAGGTGAAGGATATTACAATGCTCATATTCAGGAAGTTGGAAATGAGAACAATTCAGTAACAGTCTTCATTGAAGAATTGGCAGAAAAGTAAGAATAATTTATTGAATTATTAAAGTCTGACTCCTGGTGTCCTTTTGTAGTATTAAAGTGATCATTATCAGGATGTTAGTAAGAGTACCAGAGTTATATCTGGTATTGGCCCAGAATGGCTTTTCTCAAATTATAAAAACATATGCTGAAGTCTCAATATAGGTATCGCACATATATATGTATAAACATATATATAAAAACGTGTCTGTGTGTTTGTGTATATATATATATATATACACACACACACGCACACATTTCTAAATCCTAGACACTAGATAACTTATTAGAAAAATTAGGTATAACAGAATTCTGATACAAAACTGTTCATGGTAATTGGAAAGGTGGTTTGTTAACTGAGCCTCTGCTGGTATCAAGATAAGCCAGTCTAGTCCTTTTCAAATTTTACCATGCATCAGAATTACCTGGAGGGCTTGTGAAAACACAGATTAATGAGCCCAATCTCCTAAGTTTCTGATTCAGTAAGTCTGGGGTGAGGCCCAAGAATGTGAATTTCTGACAATTTTCCAGGTGATGCTAATGCTGTTGGTCTACTTTGAAAACTATTAAATGAGGTTATGCTGCTTTAACAAACAACCATAACAAATCTCAGAAGCTTAATACAATAAAATTTATTTCTCCCTCATTTAGTATGTCCATAGTGGGTCAGCAGAGGGGACCCAGGACAGCAGAGGCTCTATTTTAGCACATTCTTTCATGCTTACAGGCAGGGAGAAAAATGAGAACATGACAAAACACTTGCTGGATCTTAAAACATCTCACATTTTATTGGCCAAAGTGATTTACATAGCCAAGCCTGATGTCAATGAGGTAGAGAAATATTTGCCTCAAGGAGGGGTAGCAAATATTTGTGAACTAATAATACAGTCTGCCACAATCTTTATTCTGGAATATGATGAGTACTACAAACAGTTGTAAAATTATATGAGCTACTGTTAGATTTTCTAACCTAAAAACAATAACAACAAATGGGGGAAAAACATCACCAGGCGTAAATAGAATACTTGAAAATGAAGTAGAAGAGGTAGGCTTTGTGTATTTAATGAGAGTTAAGTCTGTGTTGCAATGGCTTCATGGTGATACCTTTAACTTTAAGGCATGTTGTTCCACTGGCTAACTTAAAACCAGTTACCCAAGTGACACCTGTTCCTGCCTGGAATGTTATGCCCAGTCGGAAAGGAGGAAGAGGTTACCATAAAATGCCTGGGGGCTATGTCCCAGAAATAGGTTTGTATGCTAAAGGTTTTTATTCTTTTATTTTCCCTTCTTACGGCCCTTTTAACTTACCTAGATCATACTTTCTAAAAAAAGGTTTATTATGGCCCAGCGTGTTGGCTCATGCCTTTAATCCCAGTATGTTGGGAGGCAGAGGTGAAAGGATTGCCTTAGCCCAGGGCTTCGAGACCAGCCTGGGCAACTTGGCAAGACCTCGTCTCTACAATAAATCAAAAAAATTAGCCTGGCATGATGGTGCTTATCTGTAGTTCCAGCTACTTGGAAGGCTGAGGTGGAAGGATCGCCTCAGCCCAGCAGATTGAGGTTGCATTGGCTGTGAGTGTGCCACTGCACTTCAGCCTGGACGACAGTGAAACTCCAACTCAAAAATAAAAATTAAAATTAAAAGTACATAAATAAGGTATATCATATGTCTTGTTTTAGGGTAGGTTTTCTCAACTTCAGCACTACTGATAATGGGTTGAGTAATACTTCTTTGTGAGGAGTGGGGGGCTATCCTGTGCATTGTAGGATGCTTAGCATCCCTGACTCCTAGCCACTAGATGCCAGTAGCACTCTGCCAAGTTGGGACAACCAGAAAAACGTTTCCAGACATTGCCAAATCTGAGGGAGGGAGGGGCAAAGTTGTTGAAAACCACTGCTCCAGGAAACTGTGTAAACTGAAGCACTCATATGTGGGAGCTAAAAGTATTGATATCATGGCAGTAGAGAGTAGAATGATAATTACCAGAGACTCAGAAGTGTCGTGGAAGATAAAGAGAAGTTGGTTAATTGGTACAAAAATAACAGCTGTATAGTAGGAATAAGATTTAGTGTTCAGTATCATAACAGAGCGACTATAGTTAACAATAACTTATTGCATATTTCAAAATAACTAGAGTGGATTTGGAATGTTCCCAACACAAAGAAATGGTAAATATTTGAGATGATGGATATCTCAATTACTCTGATTTGATCATTACACATTGTGTGCTTATGTCATGATATCACATGTATCCCTTAAATATGTACAACTATTATGTACCTAATAGATTTTTTTTTTTAATTGGAGTCTCACTCCGTCACCCAGGCTGGAGTGCAGTGGATTGCTCACGGCCACCACCATGTCGACCTGCTGGGCTCCGGCAATCTTTCCGCCTGAGTCTTCCAAGTAGCTGGAAGGACAGGCCCGCGCTGTCAAGCCCAGCTAATTTTGGACTTATTGTAGAGACAAGGTCTTGCCAAGTTGCCTGGGTTGGTCTCGGACCCATGGGCTCAGGGAATCCACTTGCCTCAGCCTCCCAAAGAACTGGGATTACAGGCTGAGCCACTGAGCCCGGCCTATAAAAATTAATTAATTTTTAAAAACTGGATATCTATGCTGGTATAGATTTTAGAATCTAAAATTTAAGAGAAAATTATTTCTTAACTAGAAAAAAACACCTCATAGAAGCAGCCAGAGATACTAATAGGCATAATTTCTTAGAGAATAGTAACATAGGTGACTGAGTGACTCAGTGTTTTGATGACCTGTACTAAAATGCTTATACTAAAGATAGTTCTGAGATATTCATTGATACAGAAATTACCTGCTTGATTTGCCCTTCCAGATGAAAGATCTAGTACATTCTTGAAAAATACAAAAATTCTCGCTCTTTATTTGATTTGTTCCTAAGAAAAGCATCTGAGAGTTTAAAGCAATGTGATGATGGGGGGGGGGGGCGACACTGGACCTTTTGTTTTGGTTATGAAGCTTATTTGCTACTTCTTTGTTTGCCTCAAAGCTATGGCAGAGGTGGACATGAAACAACGGAAGAGGATGTTCAAGAAAGCTCGAGGGAAAGAGGCTTATATGACTCTGGCTTACAGTAGGGGAGATCCTCTTCTCCCACCCAGGCTTCAGCACAGTATGCATTATGGGCATGATTCTTCAATACACTACTCACAGACAGCAGGCAATGTGTCTAATGAACATTTTTTTCCTCAACATTCATCTCAGAGACAAAGTCGGGGATATGGGATGCCCAGGTAAGACTTAACTGACTTTTAAGATAATGTACATCTCTGTTTAGATCTTGGAAATAATTCCTGGGTAGAATTACAGTAAAACTGAGAAATATCTTAATAGTTTAGATTTCTTTTCTAATTTCTGCCAAAAGAGAACATAGAGGAAGGAACTAATTTATATTTAAGTTCTTGTCGCATGAATTTATTGGCAGATTTATATTCTCAGAGTAGGGAAATATAAAGGCAGTTGAAGAGATGCTAGACGTTAGAATGCCATCAAGATGAGTGTCCATGTGATATATGGCACTGTATCCATTAATAATGGATGGGCCTAATGCCAATGTTGGGGAGAGTAAAACCTTTCCTTGTTGAATGTTTGTAGAAAGATGTGTTAATTCTGTTAACTACAGGAACCCGACTACTCGGGTTTTAGTGAGTAAAGAGTTCCCTTTTCCTTTCCTTTTATTCTTAGAGATTCATCTCGTTTTATAAGCAGGCACAACATGGCAGGCCCTAAAGCTGCTTTTCACCCTGGGCCAGGTAAAAGGTGCTGCCAGAGCTATGATAACTTCTCTTATAGAGCTCGGTAAGTACTGTGTTGAAAGTCACACAAACTGGGTGAGTCTGGTTTCATTGCTAAGCACTAACTTTTTTTTTTTTAAAGTGTCAACTTTGAATTGTTTGAACTGTTATTTAGAAATTAGAAACACAAGATACTGGATATTGTGTAACTTTTCTTTTTTATTCTAACTACTTAAGTTCCTTTAGACGTAGTCATAGTCATCGCCAGATGCATTGTATGAATAAGGAGTGCCAATATGGGTTTGGCCCAGAGAATGGACAGACGCCCAGGGGCTTGGAAGAGACTATTTCTTTTTATGAAGTTAAAGAAGGGGATGAGACTGCTTATCCATCTTTATCTGTGAGTGCGTCAGGGCTTTACTCAAAAAATTTACTTTTTTAAACTAAAGGCAGTGTGGATAAATTTTAGATTTTGCATGAACATCCAAACAAAACCCTTTCTGGAAAATGAGAGAAGAGAATTTTTTTCAGCTGTACTTGGAGAAGGATAGAAGTAGAGAAGTAATCTTGCTTATATAGTATGGGCTAATGTTTTCTGTGATCTTGATTATTCACACGTTTAAAAATTGCGAAGCACACTTAAAACATTTAATTGCAGAGTTCTCTTACAAAAGTAGTTCACATTGTTAGGCTAGATTTTTTTTCTTTTTCTTTTTTTTTTTAAACTGACTTTCAAAACATCTTGCTAGCTTTTTTTTCTGACTACATAGGAAGAACTGCATGTGTATGTGTGTCTCTTTGGTACAGAATCATGGAGGTCCCTCTACAATGGTTCCTGCTACTTCGGTGTACTGCACTGCAAGACAGGGACATAACTCAGGCAAACAGACTATGAATTCAGAGGAGGGCAGTGGCCAGAGTGACAATGGTGAGTTAGTTACAGTTAATTATTTTAAAAATATGAGTCTTGTGGCATTAGAATATTAGGACTGTGAAGTAGACCAAAGGTTTGGTTTTGAGATCTCACTCTGTTCCAGTATCTTAGTTTTGAAAGAGCTATAAATTCTTGTCTCACAGCTTATAAGATGTCTTGGTATTTCTGAGAAGATAGATTTCTATTTGAGTAGGCCACTGCATTGTTATAACTTATTTTCAGTTCTCTACATAGGTCTTTACTAAGTTTTGGTTTGTTGAGATATTAGTATGGAACACATCTATTGCTTATTAGTATGGCGCTGTTCATAGTTGTCTTTACCATTTTTATATCTACTTCAGACTTTCATGTGACTAGCTATTATAAGATTGCTATAAAATAATTCCTTCACCCAAAGAATTCTACTTGATCCTTAAATATTACTATTTATGTATTTGTTTATTCATTTTGAGTTGGAGTCTCACTCTGTCACCCAGGCTTGAGGGCAGTGGCATGCTCCCGGCCACCGCAGCCTCAACTTGCTGGGCTTAGGCAATCCTTCCGCCTCAGACTTCCAAGTAGCTGGAACTACAGGCACGCACCACCATGCCCAGCTAATTTTTTGATTTATTGTAGAGATGAGGTCTTGCCAAGTTGCCCAGACTGGTTTCAAACCCACGGGCTCAGAGAATTCTCTCACCTTGACCTCCCAAAGTGCTGGGATTATAGGCATGAGCCACCACGCCTGGCCTTTTATTACTGTTTATTGGATCCTATGTGCTATCTATTCTACTAAGTGATTATATTTATAATATAATATAGTCCTTGCAGTATCCTGCTGAGGAATGTGGTATCCCTATTTTATATACAGGGATGTTGAGGTTCAAAGAGTAAATGACATGGCCAAAATCATACCCTTGGTAAATGGCAGAGATATAGTTTTTTTGTTAACAGTTTTTTAGAGATATAATTTACATACCATATAACTCACCCATTTAAAGCATACGAGTTTTTATTATATTCAAAGTTTTTATTATATTCAAAATTTTTATTATATTCAAAGTTACATGCCCTCACCACAATTAATATTAGAACATTTTGTCACTCTAAAATGAAACCTTGTGCCCCTTAACAGCTACTCCCTATTTCCTTCAACCTTCCCTCCCCCAGTCCTTAAAAACCACCAATCTTTTTCTGTTTGTATAGACTTGCCTATTCTGGTCCCTTCATAAAAGTGGAATCATATAATATGTGATCCTTTGTGATTGGCAGAGATGAATTTTGAACTCGGTTTGTTTGACTCTAAAGCCTATACACACACACACACACACATACATACATACAAACACACATATATATCCTTAACAGTTTTATATTGCCTCCCACCATGAGGAGTGTTTATTTTTGCCATTTTACTGTTAAATGATACTGTATTCCTACAGAAACAATTTTGGATGATTGGGTGGCTTGAGGTATGAGGCTTTCTCAATAACTTAAGTTCCGTATTTTCTTGTGGTATTCTTTTTGCAACTTATGTAGAAGAAAATAGGAATTTAATGAGGACAACAAAACCTGATAGAAGAATATTTGTGAAAACTTTGTACATGTGTATGCATGCTTGTGTTTAAGGATGCTTACTGGCTGCTCTTTTATTCAGAAGACCTTTTTTGTCTTTTCCTTTATCCCGGTAGGTAGCTTCAGGTGTACCACTTGCCTATAGTGTGATATATTTGAAGTAATCAAATCTTTGTTCCCATCTTAAATCCTACTGTCTTGAGGAGTTGCACGCCTGTTTTTTTGATAAGTAGTGTGTTTAAAAATCAAATCCAGTTTGCATCTATGGGGTTTTATTTGGAAAATTGTCCAATTGAATATTGATTTTCTCTGCATTTTAATGGTACAACAGTCTTAAAGTACTTCATTCTACAGAGCCATTCTTTGAGGACAAACTGATTTTACGTGTATTACTTACATTAAACAGGCTGAAAACACATTAGGCATGACATATTCTTTTAATGTCCACCCAGGGACGCAGTGGGTTATACTCATATTACTTTATAGTCACGATTGAGTGTTTACCTACATTAAGCGCCATGCTGAAAGTTCTTTTCACTTCTATTAACCCTTCTCAAAACTCATATGAGCTAGGTACTGTTATTCTGCTTTACAGTGAAGAAATCGAGGCACAAAGATGAAAATAACGTACCTAAAGTCATGTAGTTAGTCAAGAATCAGATCTAGGCAGTTCATTCTCCAGAGCCTATGTGCTTGCTTAATCACCACACTGTACCACTTCACTGAAAAAAATTGGACACAGCTGGGTTTTCACATCTGCCTAAATTGTAAAAGCTAAGGAAATTTTCAGAGGAGAAATTTGTACTGTTTACAGCTGATCTCTGGCTTCAATATCTGTTGAATAGTATGAAAGTTCAAATCACGTTCTGGGATGTTTGCATTTTAGTTTAGAACATATATCCATAAAACTTGAGGAAAAAGCAAGCGCTGGCCAAATGACTCTGTTGAGTTAAAAAGACCTATGTAAATGAACTTCTTTTGCCTTGTCTTTTTTTCTAGGAGTATATCATGAGGAATATCTTTATCCTTCAGGTCAGTAATATCTTGATATAATCTGACATTCATCATTGTTTATGAAATTTTGAACTATAAAATAATGCCTTTTTTTTAAACTTTACTTTGCCTATATCCTCTAGAGCCAGACTATGAAACTTCAAGTGTTTATAGCACAACTGCATCTACAGCAAACTTGGTAGGTATTTAATAATAGCAGACACAGCTCCTACTGTATACTGGGACACCTCTTAAAGCTTTGCATATAAATGTATTTAAATCAGAACAACCCTATAAGGCAATTGGTATCATTTCCATTTTGTAGATGAAGAAATTGACACACAGAAATTAACTAATCTAACATCATACCCCTTTTCTGAAATTAATCTATTTAGAGATAGTCTTAGCGTATGTTGGTATAAGAGGAGATTCTAAGACTGGCAGTAACATTCTTTTACAGAATTTTATTATGATTTTTGTATCAGTCAGAATGGACCATAAATCTCACTGAATATAACAAAAGTTTGCTTCTTTGTTGCACTATATGTCCGGTGAAGGTCTGTAGGAGGGCTCACTTAGGGACTCAGGCTGATGGAAGCTTTATCCATGATTGCCAAGGCAGGAAATAAAAGATGGTAAATGGTGCACTAGCTCTTAAAGCTTCCACCAGAGATGACACATGTCACTTTCTTTTCAATTCTTTGGATAGAGCAGGTCTCACTGAAGAGTTTAACTTCTCTGTGCCTAGAAGGCAAAAAGTTAGAAACATTTTAACTGCACTATGGACTATAACATTCAATTTGCTCTCTCCTCCTACAGTCAAAATATTTCAAGTTTTTTTTTAACTCCCCACCTGCTGCAGTTTAAAATGGAGGAGGAGGGACTGAAAGATTGCAATAAAAATTTTTACTCAGAAAGGGAGGAATGGGGAAAAATACAGTTACTGGCCTGTAGCAATTCTGAGATCTTCATAGACAGACATTGTAAGGGCCCCAAACCTATGCATGGGGACTGTTCTCTGGAGGAATTATTTGGTTCATTGTTTTCTGGGGCTCTTGGTGACGAGGAAGGCCTGCCCTTCCTTGGCAATATTTGAAATAGGCATTGGAGGCCGGGTGTGGTGGCTCAAGCCTGTAACCCCAGCACTTTGGGAAACCGAGGTTGAGAGGATTACCTGAGCCCACAGGTTTGAGGACAGCCTGGGAAACTTGGTGAGTCCTCATCTCTACAATAAATTTTTTAAAAAAATGAGCCGGGCATGGTAGCACACACCTGTAGTTTTGGCTACTTGGAGGGCTGAGGTGGAAGGATTGCCTGAGCCCAGCAGGTTGACACTGCGGTGGCCATGAGTGTGCCACTGCACTCTAGCCTGGGCAATGGAGTGAGACTCCAACTTAGAAAGAGGAAAGAAGCATTGGAGGAGAATAATCTTTCCTTGGCAACTGAGCAGCTTTCTCAGCCTGCTATTTACACACAAAAGATTAGGGTCCCAAGGGTCATTTTTATCTCAACTGAATGTTTTGAGTTCTGGCTCATGGTTTGTGACATTAATTTATTTTGTTTCTCTTTTTGATTTCTGTTAGTTACATGTGCCAGTAGCCATACTGACAATTTTTTATAGATAATATTACTAAGATTTGCAATAATTCTTTGTTTTTTTAAAAATCTCTATGTTTCTCTTTACTTTATTGCAAGTTCCTTGAGCTTATCACGCATTGATGGAAGAGCCATGCCTTTTGGACACTTCTATGAACCATCTTTCCCAAATGCAAGGGTTTACTGGGTATTATATCCTTAGTTGATCTCTTGCTTTGAGGCATCTTAATGCACTCAGAGATTTGATTCTTGCTGCAAGGCAGAATTTTCACTGGTTTTTGTTAAAAACAAACAAACAAACAAAAAAAACCCCCTGTTTTAGTCAAGTGAGGTTATGCTGCAGTGACAACCCCTCAAAATTTCAGTGACTTAACACAGGAAAAGTTGTTCTTGTTAATGTTGCATGTCCAGTGCAGGTTGATAGTGGGCCTCTGTTGATCATAGTAACTCAGGAATCCAGGCTGATGGACACATGCTTTCACAATCATTTCAGCAGGGCAAAAGATGTAGAAATTGAATACTGACTTAACATTTCTCCTCATATTTCATTAGCCAAACAGATAGTTTAGATGGGACCAGGCAGTGAAATCCTATTATGTACTTAGAAGGAAAACTGGAATATTTGTGAACTTGAATAATTACTCTGTATTTTCTAACTGTACTTGATATTAATCTTGGCAGCTTCATATACTAAATTTTTGTTCGTACTGTTTAGGCAGAACATCTTGGGAGGAGGAGAACTCTGATATATAATTCTCTTCCCTTTCTTTCTCCTTTCCTTACTTTGCCCCTTCTGGAGAAACAGTTTTTCTCCCCACCCTTGCTATTCTCATGTTATGTCCTTTATATCTGGAGTGCCAAAAAAATGTATGCACATTTTAAGAGATACTGTTCTATGTATTTCTTTTAGTTTGCTGTAATCAGAAGTGTCTGGACACTGATGTTAACCACTTTAAGCACTTCTTGGAATTGCAAAAGTCAAATGTGACTTGTATTCATCTTTTGTTATCAGCATATGTTGAGTATTACAATTTTAATACAGTTTTTTTCTTTCTTAAAATGTGCACAATTTTTTGACACTCTCTGTATATCACCGCCAGAAATAGGCTTTCAAGTGAAAAGGCAAGTAAAAATCTTACATTAGGGGTGACAAGAATAGGAACTTTATTTTTTTCTGCCCCTTTAATTTTACCTGTGACCTGTCCTTTTTGTTCTGAATTGAATCATATACTCCCAATAACTTTCAATCTCTTCATGATATGCTCTACCCCCACTCACTAGTCACTAAATCCATAACAAATTGCTAAGTAATTTTTTCACAGCATTCTGAGGTAGAAAGGGTCAATGCAAGACTTGAATAAAGATTTCCAGGCACAGAGCCTTCTAAGAAACTATGAACATTTATTCCTACTTATTTCCATGCCCTGTACTCAACTACATCCTTTCCTAGAATTGTTTAGCATTTACATGGCCTTTTGAGTCAGGGCAAATGTTTGCTTTTTGTCAGGTACTTTGGCCACACAAACACTGGTAATATGCAATCTTAGGTTCATGTTAAGGTGTGACTCATCTTTTCACAGGACGGTTCCTCTTGTTGTTTTCTGATGATTACTTTCCTTGTTCTTTCTGTGTTCTTACCAGTATTACCAATCTCGGCTGCTGGAGTTTTTGCTACCATAACCATCTATCATGCATGAGTCTGAGGCTTTCAAAATCCTTTTTACTTTGACAAAGACAAGATCTTGAGCCAGAGGGAAATGGTGTTTGGATCTTACTACATCTGTTATATCCTGCTTCAATAGAATACAGCTTAACAACCAGCTAACAGTTGTCCCAAGCTACATCTCCAGATAGAATGTTCTTTTTTTTTTTAAGCAAAACTATTGTTGATCCTACTGTGTTTGGAATTTTAAAGCAAGAAAGGCCATTGAAAAAGTGTTTAAATTTCAGTTCTCAGTTACCTTTTACTATCTGCATTGGAACTAGAATAGGATGTGGTGAGGATTTTTGTAGATAGGTAACAGAACAGTTACCTAAATTAGGCACTAGAGTGATACCTTTTGGAGCATTGTCTTCATAGTCACTGAGTTAATGTAAATTGCCTGTCAAGTCTGTCTCATTTAAAGCTCTTCTGTAGAATGGGGAGTCAGCAAAAAAAGGTAGCTGAAACCATAGCAGTGAAGGTAGTCTTCAAAGTGTTATCAAATAATCAGTTACGATGGTCTGAACAGAAGAAAATTAATTTTCTCTTTTCTTTTACCTTCACATACTTCAGAGCAGCTGCTTTTGTTCCTTTAAGTATTATTGTGCCTTGTGGTACCTGGCACAGTGACTAGGAAATTCATTCAGCAAATTACTGAGTATCTACTGTGTTCTAGACACTGTTCTATGGCCAATTTTTAAAAATTATTTCAGGACAAATCACTTCATTTAGTTTTAGAAGATTGTTGAAGCAAAGCAGATCTTTTATTGATGTTTGTTTTCTTGATTTCCCTTTATTTAACTTTAACTGTATTTCTGTATTCATTAAAGTCTCTTCAGGACAGAAAACCATGTTCTATGTCTCCTCAGAACACAGTTACCTCATACAACTACCCTCAGAAGGTAATCGTCATAGTGTTTTCAAGTAGTCAGTTACAATGGTCTGAACAGAAGAAAATTAATTTTCTCTTTTCTTTTACCTTTGCCATACTTCAGAGCAGCTGCTTTTGTTCCTTTAAATTTAAGTATTATTGTACTGGTACCTGGCACAGTAATTAGTAAATTCATTCAACAAATTACTGAGTATCTACTGTGTTCTAGACACTGTAATATGTGCCAGCTTTAGACTACTCATAGTCTATTGTGAACCTCCTGTACATAATAAATGAGCTAACGTAAATTAACTGTCAAGTCTGTCTGATTTACCAGAACTTAGATTTAAGGCTCTTCTGTAGAATGGGGAGTCAGCATTAAAAAGGTAGCTGAAACCATAGGAGTGAATAAGATTGTCCTGGAAAAAATAAGAGATTGAGAAGAGCATCTAGAATAAAATCTGTAAATCACCACATTCTAGAAAAAGGGTAGAAGAAAGAACAGCGAAGGAAGGAGGGAAAGAATGAAAGTAGAATATTATGGAAGACCCAGAAAGAGAATGCTTTAAGGAGTAATATAAAGATTAACAAAAGCATACTAGAATTCATGACCATAGAAACCATAATGCAATTTCAAAGGACCAGAGAGGGTAGCAGTCACACTGCAGTGGGAGGTAAGGAAATGGAGATTGCCAGTGAGGATGGTATGTTCAAGAAGAGTCTGTACCATTTACTGAATATCTCTCTCTGCATAGCCATGTACTGGGTGCTGTGGGAAAGTAGTCTGTTCTCTTGAGGAATCATGACCTAAGCAGAAAAAAGATTTCAGTCTCATGAAATTACAAAATATGCAAAGCATCTTTTCTAATTTTTTAAAAAAGGTATGTGCTTGTGTGGGGAAAGATACATATATATACATGTGAAAAAAATACATATATATAAATGAATATATATTGCAAATCTCTGGCATAATATGGAAGAAGCCCAGAGGTCGCCTGTTTTGGAAGAGGACAACAAGGCAAATGGAGGACAGGGATTAGAGGAAAAATTTAAATTGTATATAATTTGATACTTGATTTTTGAATCATATTAATGTGTATTACCTTTCCAAAAAATATTAAATTTTAAAATTAAGGCTTTCTAAGGAATCTAGGATCTTCTAAAAGATATAAACTTCCTAGGGTTTATATAAACGTTGACATCTGTGTTTTAGTTATCGAAATAAAATATTATTTTTCTGGAATTTAGGATCCAATGACAAATGAATACTATTTAAGAAACCTTAGAGTTCTGAACTTTCTTCCACACTTAACAGGTGATGGGAAATTCTGCAGCAGTTGCAGCTTCCTGTGCCAGTAATGTTCCAGCTCCAGTCTTATCTAACTGTGCAGCAGCTAATCAAGCTAGTAGTACCACTTCAGTATCCTCACAGAATACTATGCAGCCTCTATTTGTATCTCCACCTACACCAGGCAGACCAGGTAGGTTATTCGTGGTTGCTTATTTTGGAAACCTCTTTTTCTATTCATGAACATACACATACAACTCTTCTAATGCTTAGATACCATTTCTTTAATTTCCAGAATTAAATGTGTTTAACCAACTTAATAAAATACTTGTGGCGCCGGGCTCGGTGGCTCAGCCTGTAATCCCGCGCCTTTGGGAGGCTGAGGTGAGTGGATTGCCTGAGCCGGTGGGTTCAAGACCCGCCTGGGCAGTGAGACCTCATCTCTACAATAAATCTAAAAATCAGCTGGGTGTGGTAGCGCATGCTTGTAATTCCAGCTACTCGGATGGCTGAGGTGGAAGGATTGCCGGAGCCCAGCAGGTCGAGGCTGTGGTGGCCGGGAGCAGCCACTGCACTCCAGTCTGGGCAACTGAGTGAGACTCCAACTCAAAAAAAAAAAAAATACTTGTGTCATTGAGGAATCCATGATATTTGAGAATTAGGGTTTTACTTTTTTTATTATTAAAAATTTGGCTCTTATAAGACTTTGTACCTATCATTTTGCTACCCAGTGGATATTTAGAAAACTTGAACTAGTTTCACAAACTTTCAATTAAGTTTTATTATATAAGAATTAAGGTAGAAACGTTTCTCACTTTATAGAATAAATTCCTGAACAGTTTGCTGTAAAATGCATTCCTATATAATGAGACATTGTTCTATGAATGTCATAATAAAGGATGTAGGCTCTAGATTTTAAGTGACCTAGGTTAGAATCCTGGCTTTACAGCTTGCTAGCTATATAATTTTGTACAAATTATTGAACTTTTCTTATCTGTGGCTTGGGGAATACTGATAATAACAACTCATGAAGTGGCTGTGGATTTCAGTGAGTTAATATAAAATTCTCAGCAGAATTCTTAGAAGGCGATGGCAACAACAGCATTAGACTTTCAATCTGAGTCCCCAAATAAAAATAGAAATAGCAAAATCAAAACTCATGGACAACATCTACAACAAAACCAAGTGACAAGGCATCCCTGTGAACCTCCAAATTTAAGCAGTTAGGGACAAACCACCAGTCACAAGACCTACATGCTGTCAGGGTCTATGAGGAAGCATTGAGGGTTGTTGTATGAGCCATAAAACAGAAACACCCCAAAAGAGATGATAAGAATTCACTAAAAAGTGGGGCAGTTTGAAAGCCACAGCTAAAACTAGGAAGGGATTTGATCTAATTCTAGGTGAGAGTGCATGGTAGAACTGAAGGACTTAGAAGAGTTTAGCCCCTAAGAACTCTTCAAAACTGACCTGCCAGGGCTCCCTTTTAGGATAGTATTCCTCACTGGGGAAAAACTGCTAGGAGTGGAATCAGAATTGATTAGGATAGGTAAACAACAGGTCAGGTAAAAGAACAAAAGGAAAGCATTAAGATCAAACGTTACACAAAGTATCTTAAGAGAAAAAAAGCAGAGTAATATCCCTATAGACAATGAAAGCATGTTAGAAATGTACCTACTTAACAGAACTAAACAAACTACAAGCTGGAACTGAACACATGAGTAAAATAACACAAAACATTAAAGAATAACAAATCAGAATTAGAAAAACTCATGAGGTGACAGAATCAGAAACAGAAGAAGGTCATTTCAATGATGGAGACTAAGCCAGGCGTGGTGACTCACACCTGTAATTCCAGCCCTTTGGGAAACAGAGGTGGGAGGATTGCTTGAGCCCAGGAGTTCAAGACAGGCCTGGGCAACCTAGTAAGACCTTGTTTCTCTAAAAAATAAAAAAAATTAGCAAAGCATAGTGTTGCGTGCATGTAGTCCCAGCTACTTGGAAGGCTGAGGGGAAAGGATCACTTGAGCCCAGATTGAGGCTATGGTGAGCCTTGATTGTGCTACTCTAGTGCAGCCTGAGTGACAGAGTAAGATCTCAACTTAAAAAAAAAATAATAATGATAATAATGGAGACTAAACTATATTGAGCTTGAGCAAATATAGGTTGAATGTTTTGTTGTTGTTTTTTTTTTTTTCCAAAATTCTTGGGACCAGAAGTGTTCAGATTTTTTAAAATTTTGGAATATTTGCATTATGCTTATCTGTTGACCATCCCTAATCTGAACATCTGAAATCCAGAATCTCCAGTGAGCATTTTCTTTGAGCATTATGTAGGCACTCAAAAAGTTTTGGAATTTGGAGCATTCTGGATTTCAGATTTTCGGATTAGGGATACGCAACTTGTATATACAATAGGTAATGCCTTACGAGAAATAAGGGTGCTGTAGGCTTTTCATTTTCTTTTGAAAAATAAAATAAGAACGTAAGAAAGGGAGACTCTAAAATTGAAAACAAACAAACAAAAGATAATAAATATTTAGAAGTGACATATTAAGACACCCTGAAGAAGAAAACCAAAGTAAGAGAACAGAACAAATACTAAAATCTATAATTTAGAAAACTTTACTGAAATAAAAGAAAACTCTAAAAGTACTTACTGAAACAGCCCCCTACCCTGCATTCCTGAGGACACTGACCCAGAACAATCAACACTAGAATATTCTAGTTAAAATTACTAGACTTCAAAGCAAAAGAAAGTCCTGAGTATCTTGCTGAAAGAGTCCTTGGAACATAAGAGAAATTAAATGTTAATCATCAAACTTTGGCAGCATTGCTTTATGATACAAGAAAAATTGAGTAATATTAAAGATACACAAGGAAAGAACATGTGAACCAGTGGTTTTATATCTAGCCAAACTGATTTTCAAACATGAAGGGCAGCATGGGAAAGAATCAGAGTATTATTCCTATGGGCCCTTCCTGAAGAATCTACTAGAGCTGTGCTCTCAAGCAAGGTAATTACTAGCCACATGTAGAAATTTAGACTTAAATTACTTATAGTTAATAAAATAAACATTTAGTTCCTCAGTCACATTCGCCACATGCCAAGTGCTCAAAGCCATATGTGGCTGGTACCTACTGTGTTGGACAGCACAGATACAGAATAAGTCTACCATCACAGAAAGTTGTATTGGACTACAGTGTACTAGAGAAAGGGCTTTGAGTTTTAGACTACCAAAATAATCAGAAACATCAGCATATAAGACTTGGTGGCAGTAAAGATGTAGTTAACTGTACAATTAAGGCAAAAAAGAAAAGTTGAGACTACAAGTGGGGACCCCAAAAAAACAAGAACTATTTTTTTGGATGATGGGCCCCTTGTAGTATAGGCTTTCCCCACTAAGTAAGTGTTCTAGGAACCCATCGGCATCCAGTGTACCTGCAAGAGTTGTGAGAGGCTGCATTTAGCTTTAGTGACTATTTTTTTTGGAGGTTCTTTCAACGCATTTGCCCATTTCATGATGGGTGATTTGCAGCACCTACCCACACGGCACTGAGTGTTCAGCAGTTTTTGACCAAAAATGGCATCCCCGTTCCCTACCCTCCCTATTCACCCCATCTCACCCAAAGCAGCCTTTTTTCTTTCCCCGGATGAAGAAAAACCCTCAAAGGGAAATATTTTGCAGATGTGGAAGAGGTGAACCAAAAAATGGCAGAATCACTAAAAGGCATCAAAGTGGATGAGTTCAAAAACTTGTGAGCAAGCCGGGCTCGGTGGCTCAGTCTGTAATCCCGCGCCTTTGGGAGGCTGAGGTGAGTGAATTGCCTGAGCCCCTGC